GGGGAGGCGGCGCGAGGGCGGCGGGGAGGGGTTGGTGGAGGATAGGGAGAGGGGGGATGGCGCCATGGGGGAGGCGCGGGGGCGGGGCGGCGGGGGCCTCCGTCGGGAGCCGGCGGTCATTTGGGTCTGCTTGGTTGGTCAACCACTTTAGATTTAGATTTGAGTTTAGTGTTCCTGATGATTTCTTAGCTGAAATTTTTGACTTTGGAATGGATGCCTACATTGAAATCTTTTTGTTTTCACGCACAACATCAAATGTCATATATGATCTTTTATGTTTTATGAAAAATGCCACGCGGTTTGTGCTTCCTGCTAATGGCGCGTGAACATAAGAATGTGTAATGATTAATGATTATATCTCTATCTCTACTATTCCCTCCGTTCATTTTTATAAGGCGTTTCATACAGTTGAGTTTGAACTGTTTAGTACATCTGAATTTACTAAAACGTCTTATATAAGTGAACAGAGGGAGTACTTAAAAATAACGTAAGGTCCCTGGAGGTGCTCATAGGGGTAGGGTGTGCGTATGTGCGTTCACATGGATGAGTGTATGCGCGTGTATACGAGCGCTTGCGTCTGTATGTGTTTAAAAAAGAAGAACGTAATATTTCCATTTCACCTTTTTTTCTGCCACCCCTTTTTCCAACCTTCCATGTAGTATATGTAGTATAAAATAAACTACCTTACACCCGTATGTAATATTAACCGATAAAGATAACTCTCGAACGTGCCACATTCTGTCATCCCGTCCCAAACGCCATTTTAACCATATGATTTCAACACGAACCTTAAACCACGTCAGAATAGCCACGTCATTGGAACTGTGAGGCTAATTCCGAGGAGCACACATAATCGGAAAAATCAAGGGTCGTCGTGAACGTTTTCCACCATGGATCCCCACCCACTCTCCTCGCTATGGAACATGGGAGAGAAGCGACCAAGCATCGGCGACGGGGCGGGCTCCTTTCTCCGTGCCAGAGTCACGGCGCGGCGGAGGGGAGGAGCTCCCTTGGGACCCAGCATCAGAACGAGGCGCGTCGGGGACGAGGCGAGCTGATCTGTCCTCGCCAGATGAGGCGAGCGGCAGAGGGGAGAACTTCCACCGATGATGCGGGAAGGGGGTGGATCTGGCCAAAATTAGGCCCAAGGTTCCCGACGTGATGGGAGAAGGGGCAGGGGAGAGGCGGAGACTCGCCGGACGAGCTCGGCGTCAGCACCGACACGCTCGTCGTGGAGTGCAGCGAGCAGTAGCAGGCTCGATGGAGAAGGGCGCGCGGGCAGAGGAGAGGCGGAGGCAAGCAGCAAGCAGCACCAGGCAGAATGGCGTGCAGGGAAGAGGTGGAGGCTCACCACCAGCATGCTCGCCAGGGTGTTCGTTGAGAAGCAGCCGACTACCAACAGGCTCGTTGGGTGGCACTGCAAATCCCACGTTGGCGTGGCAAGGGCTCCTCCCCCTCGTCCTAGCCATAGGAGGAGGCGAGGGTAACAAGTTGGAGCTTGATTTGCGCAGGCGGATCTGGGGCACACATAAGAGCTCACTCACTAATAGAAAACGGGCCATCAATCCCGGTTTTAGAGGGCCTTTAGTCCCGGTTCAGCAACTGGGACTAAGCAATCGGGACTAAAGCCCCTCACATGTGGTGTTACGAACTGATGGTGTTACGAACTGATCAATCGGGACTAAGCAATCGGGCCTTGCCACGCCAACGTGGGATTTGCAGTGCCACGACGGTTTAGGGGTTTCATATTGTGTTAGGAACTAGCTCATCATTCTAGCACAAAGGTAGCACATAACTCATAATCATCATGATAACAACTCATCATCATGATAACAGCTCATCATCATAGTCATATAAGAACTAGCTCATCATTCTAGCACAATGTAGCACATAAATACCAACTCAACATGATCATAATAACTCATCATCATATTCATATAAGAACTCATACATCATCATCATCATTATAATAACAACTCATCATCATAGTCATATATATAGGAACTAGCTCATCATTCTAGCACATAGGTCGTAGCACGTAACTCATCATCGTCATCATGATAACAACTCATCATCATAGTCATATGGGAACTAGCTCATCATTCTAGCACAATGTAGAACATAACTACCTAAGACCTCCTACTCTCTCGAAGGTAAAATAGCATAAAACAGGTAAACCCTTATTCTCCATTATGGATATAGATGAACATGTCTTCCATTTGTGGGCTGCGCTTGATGTTGCCCATAAATAATTCTCTGTGATCTTTCAGAACTATTCTCCAATCTTTGATTGTGAGGATGTCACCGCTTTGATTAATCGTGTATACACTACGGTGAATAGTAGGCCAACTTGTCTGTAAGCTAACAATCTTCATGTCACCTTTCATTTCCATAAGACTAGGTATACAGTATGCCGGGAGTTTCTGTTAAAGAACATCATAATAACATACTTAGCAGAATGTAGTTTAGCTTAAAAGAATCTATGCAAAAAATGCAATGATGGCATATAATAGGAAAAATGTTACCATGATATCTCGATGGATGTTACCGTAGTTCAACATGTGCACTAGTGGCGCGTATTGAAAATAACTAGGAGAGATATGATAATTTGTCTTAAAAGTCTCCTTTAATCCATGAAACAAAATAATTTATCTCCTCGCAATTTCGCTCAGACCCATAACTGTAGTAGGTTTTGTCTACTACTTTCCGTACATTTCTTAAAGAATGGAAATAAGTTGTCAACTATTTTTATAAATACAATATAAATTACTTATTGAATATGTTTGAGAAACTCGGGTAGAATTGGAAGTGTATGAACACCGATCCAAATATCCATGTCATCTTCAGGATCATCACCCAGATCGAAGGTCACATGCATACCCTCCTGAAAACCATATGCCTTGCATAGTGCTGCCCAATTCGAGCAACCAAAATGGGAGTAGGTGTTGGAAATATGCCCTAGAGGCAATAATAAAATGGTTATTATTATATTTCCTTGTTCATGATAATTGTCTGTTGTTCATGCTATAATTGTATTAACCGGAAACCATAATACATGTGTGAATACATAGACCACAACATGTCCCTAGTGAGCCTCTAGTTGACTAGCTCGTTGATCAATAGATGGTCATGGTTTCCTGACCATGGACATTGGATGTCATTGATAACAGGATCACATCACTAGGAGAATGATGTGATGGACAAGACCCAATCCTAAGCATAGCACAAGATCGTGTAGTTCGTTTGCCAAGAGCTTTTCTAATGTCAAGTATCATTTCCTTAGACCATGAGATTGTGCAACTCCCGGATACTGTAGGAATGCTTTGGGTGTACCAAACATCACAAAGTAACTGGGTGGCTATAAAGGTACACTACAGGTATCTCCGAAAGTGCTGTTGAGTTGGCACGAATCGAGACTGGGATTTGTCACTCCGTATGACGGAGAGGTATCTCTGGGCCCACTCGGTAATGCATCATCATAATGAGCTCAACGTGACTAAGCAGTTAGTCATAGGATCATGCATTACAGAATGAGTAAAGAGACTTTCCGGTAACGAGATTGAACGAGGTATTAGGATACCGACGATCGAATCTCGGGCAAGTAACATATCGATTAACAAAGGGAATTATATACGGGATTGATTGAATCCCCAACATCGTGGTTCATCCGATGATATCATCATGGAACATGTGGGAACCAACATGGGTATCCAGATCCCGCTGTTGGTTATTGGCCGGAGAGATGTCTCGGTCATGTCTGCATGATTCCCGAACCCATAGGGTCTACACACTTAAGGTTCGGCGACGCTAGAGTTGTTATGGGAAATAGTATGTGGTTACCGAATGTTGTTCGGAGTCCCGGATGAGATCCCGGACATCACGAGGAGTTCCGGAATGGTCCGGAGATAAAGATTTATATATGGGAAGTCCTTATTTGGTCGCCAGAAGTGTTCGGGGGTTTATCGGTATTGTACCGGGACCACCGAAAGGGTTTCGGGGATCCACCGGGAGGGTCCACCTGCCCCTGAGGGCTCTATGGGCTGAATATGGAGGGGAACCAGCCCCTAGGTGGGCTGGGTGCCAAACCCCCCTAGGGCCCATGCGCCTAGGGTTGGGGGGGACCCTAAAGGGGGCGGCCCCCTTGGCTTGGGGGGCAAGCCTCCCCCCTGGCCGCCGCCCCCCCCTCTAGATCCATCTGGAGGGGGCCGGCCCCTCTCTCCCTTGCCCCTATAAATAGAGGGGAGGTGGGAGGGCTGCCTCACCCTTCCCCTGGCGCAGCCCTCTCCCTCCCCAACACCTCCTCCGTAGTAGTAGTGCTTGGCGAAGCCTTGCCGGAGAACTACAAGCTCCACCACCATGCCATCATGCTGCCGGAGCTCTCCCTCAACTTCTCCTCTCCCCTTGCTGGATCAGTAAGGAGGAGACGTCCCCGGGCTGTACGTGTATTGAATGGGAGGCGCCGTCCGTTTGGCGTTAGATCGAATCTTCCGCGATTTGAATCGCCGCAAGTACGACTCCATCATCCATGTTCTAGTAACGCTTCCGCTTAGCGATCTTCAAAGGTATGAAGATGCACATCCTCTCTCTCTCTCTTGTTGGTAGAATCTCCTAGATTAATCTTGGTGATACGTAGAAATTTTGAATTATTGCTTCGTTCCCCAACAGTGGCATCATGAGCTAGGTCTATTCGTAGATTCTATGCACGAGTAGAACACAAGTAGTTGTGGGCGTTGGTTTATTAAATTTGCTTACCGTTACTAGTCCTATCTTATTTCGCATACAAATGGTGTAAGCCGGATTTACACATGTAAAACACTTAGGTTGACTTGACGAGCCTAGCATGTACAGACATGGCCTCGGAACACAAGAGACCGAAAGGTCGAACATGAGTCGTATAGTAGATAAGATCAACATGAAGATGTTCAACGATGATGACTAGTCCGTCTCGCGTGATGATCGGACACGGCCTAGTTGACTCGGATCATGTATCACTTAGATGACTAGAGGTATGTCTATCTGAGTGGGAGTTCATTAAATAATTTGATTAGATGAACTTAATTATCATGAACATAGTCTAAAATATCTTTGCAATATGTCTTGTAGATCAAATGGCCCACGCT